CTTGTGTATATGCATGCAACATTATAAGATATGTTCAAAAGGGGTGAAGCCTCTGATATAATGCACATTTAATAATTTTCCCCAGTTTACTGGATGCCTAAGTGGGGGCAGGGGGAGGGAAAGCAAGAAGAAATGTGTGCCATGATGTTGAGATGTAAACTCCACCCTTTTTATCCTTGCATCACCATACAGTGTGCAAGTACATAAAGAGTGGAACTTGCATCATTTTGACAACTCTTGGTTTCCCATGGTTGTATTTACACTAACAGTTGCATATGTCATATTTTAAACAATTGAGTGCTTCCCCAGAACACCTTTCTCTTCTTCAACTGCCATTAGTTTTTTCTCCTGGGTTTTTCATATCACAATCCAATATCTCACTCTTCTAGAGCGGCTTCCACCCTGTCACTGGACAATGGATATACCTAATATTTATTTTAGCACAGAAATAAAACAGCAGAGAAGTTGCTACTACCACCATTAGCTTTAATATTGCCCTGAAAGATATAAGGAACAAATTTATTCCCTTCCTGTTCTGGAAGAAGCAATCTTTTACATGGACATATGGTTCAATATTATTTGTCATAATGAATGGTCTAGTCATGGTCATCTGGGGATTGAAACAGTTTCATAGGGTATGGAAAATATGCAAAAATAAGTAATTCAACATGCCATTTTGAATTCCTTCTAACATTATACACATATGAATATTCTTAGAGTTGATGCAAAATGTTTTTATTGTGGGTTAATTGAACATTTACTTAGTGGTCCTTTCTTGAACTTCTGCATAAAAAGGGGACAGAGTTCAATGGTACAGCACTTGATCTCACAGCCATTTACTTGTATATGGTTTCAGATCCCCTTTCTTCTGGTAATAGATCTTGTACGAGCATTAGTTCAGTTAATTATATCTACAAGTTCTAGCCAGAGGGATATATGCAAAACATTTTTGCTTTTGGGTCTGCTCCCAAAATTTTCTCAGAGTCCACCATCAAGAGATGTAACCTCATCTCTTTCATCTCAATAAATCTTGTTAAAAAAAGTCTATGAGAATATTGGATAATTACCTTAGATTTGAGACAGCTACTAAACAGCCTATGCAAAAAGCTTTGATATGTTCTGTGAAATGAAATTTATTAGGACTTGGACACATCATAACAGAATACCAAATAATAGCACAAATTGACAAATGTCACTGCCAGAGACAAAGTAGCATTACCTCAAGACAGTCTTGATGGCCTGAAGTTATATGGCTCCCTGGGTGGGAGATTCTATGCTGAAGAAGAACCCAGAGCTAGTGGACTAGAATCAAACAGAGTGGAAGGAGGGATTTCTAGAAAGTAGCCTAGCTTTTCAAGGAAATAACACAGTTCAAACATCTGCCAACAACTAGAGAAGAGTCCTGTCATGTGCTTTGCCTCTCAGACTTCATCTTCTCCTCCAACCCAAGTTTCAATATCTTTCAGTCAATTCTCATATCAGCAGGTATAGGTCCTGATTGACTATCAGCTCTTCTTACACCTTCACTTGGGGCAAATTACTTATTAAATTACTTTAATCTTCCTTGATGTAATCCTCCTTGAATAATGGGGTAGGAATTTCAGGATTATAAGTATGATTATTTCTTTCCTTACATGTGTAACCCATAACTGACCAATCACTAAGTAATCAAAAGTAACTATTATAAGGAGTTGTGTGATGCATGGATAAAAACTGGAAGAGGAGGTGGGAGCCACAATTCCCCTAAGGGCAAATGGGTATCCCTGTGGCCCTCCAGTGGCAAACTACCACCCAAACACTGTATAAAAAGGGAAACTTAACTGATGAACTGTTGCAATATGCAACAGTTTTGTCACTCTGAGTGAATTTTCTATGATCAGTCTCTGCTTTCTAATCAATACTAACTTGAACATGTAGCCTCCTTAAACCAGGGGAGCAATAAGACATATTCCTAGAAGCCCTAATAAGGAGACAGATGTCTTCCTGTTTAGCCCAATGAGAAATCAATATGTCTGACAATTGGCATGTCTGAACAGTTTGTGCTGGAACTGAATGCATGAATTATGCTGTAACTTAGAATCAGTACCTATATAATATTATGGACCATGTTTATTAATCTCTGAGGTTGGTGTGCTCACTCAAGACCCAGATGCTAATACAGATTGAGAGCTGATTGCTTCATCAAGAACTATCATATTCCATCTCTTAGCTGCATATTAAACACCACATTTCCTCAACTTAGAGAAAACAATTAGATAATTAATTCTTGTGGCATTATGGCTTCAGGAAAACATCATCCATATTTCTATCAGGGGCATCATTCACATATATTTCACATATAGCTTCCTGCTATATCTGAGTGGGAATATATGAGAATTAATGAATAACCGGGTGTTTAAAAACTGTCATTAAGAATGGTTGAGAAATGCGCCTTTTTAATGGGAAATTAAAGGCATTGTAGGAGGAGAGCTGTGTTAGTCTATGATAGCAAAAAAATAAAATAAAATAAAATAAAAAATCAGGATTCTGGTGATTTTAACAACAACATTTAATGCTGAAAGAATTTTCACTACCTTAGTCTTACTATTCTCCTTCATAAAGAAATGGCATGGTTACCCAGTATAACCCTCACAATGATAAAATTTGGGCAGTAAAATCTTTTGCAATACCGGTGGAAATACAGGAAACTTGTATTCATGGCTTTTAGTCATTCTTTTAAAAAAACACAAACCAGCACTATTTCTAATGGCCAATACTGAGGATGCTGAAAACAAACTAAACATGAAACATAGTTTTAAAAAGTGTGGCATATGGTAACATTAATCTGAACATTTTATTATGCCAATTTTACCCTACAGACTGATGCTTTTAGATTAGGGAAACTGATAGTATGTTTTGCATTGCTTAATGTAAGAAGGGGACATTTGGATTGCTGCTAATTTGGGGAGCAAGAGAATACTGATTATATTTTATCTCACCCCGTTCACACACCTAGTTCCCACACTACACTAAGCCAAAATGTGGTGTATCATTTACCGTACTATGTGAGCCTAGCCAATTGTGCTTTATTTAATAAACCACTGCTAACCAAGCTATTATTTAGTGTGATACATGAACTAAGCAATAATCTTATCACAGGAGTCCATTGCAATGTCTCCAATGCAGTCTTCTTACAAAAGAAAAACTGGTTGGGTCTGATTAGTGTCTAGATGGGAGACAAGCTAGGGATCTCATCTTAACCTGGGTCTGGTCTGTTTGACTATTAAGATATTCTTCTGTTCTAGTCAATTAAGAGGTTTCCAATAAAATAATCTCACCTAAAAAGACTAATAAAGCTCAGTATGTTGACTGGGCAGTAGTTGTCAGAACCAGGTCTATCATACTGCTTATAAGCTGGAACACAAGGGTTGGGATCAGCTCAGGTGTCCTCCTGTTCAATCTCTATCAGTATCCCCCTATAGAGCCCAAAGGAAAACTATAGCACCATTCAAGACTGAATCCCCAAAGGAAAAAATTATATACCAGATACTCTTAAGGCTTTAAAGCTAAAGCTACTATCTAAGTGCTGTAGATCAGTATCTGTGACTACCTTTGAGGGTTATCCAAACCATATTCTTAAGAGTAATTTTTTTCTAACACTTTTCTGCACTTGGAATCCAGTATGACTTATGCACGGATTTATAACTTCATGCATAAATTAATATTTTTATCTGAAACCCTTATGTGTATGGCTCTATCAGATAGCTAAATGTGGTCCTGGAAGAAAGAAATAGAAGATAATCTTTATCTATATGGATTTTCCACTCAACTGTGGTTTCAAAGTGCTGTTATAAAACAACAGGTTCTTGACACAGAATAGCCCACTATTTGTTTAATACGTTCTATAAAACTATAGAGGTATTTTCTCATTGGCATAGTTCAATGTTTTGTATACTCAGCTGGCTTTCATGCCTAAAGGAGACCTAGAACGTCTCCTGGTTTCTAGGCCAGCACCTTAACCACTACACCATACTTCTAATTCTAAATATATTTTTTCATGCAAAAGTTGGAGAAATTATGTCTGTGGAACATGTGCTATTATGATATCATTTCTACAAGGTCTTTGAGAAGCGTATGCAGTATAATAATACCTAATAATTCAAGATGGGATAAGGAAGTTGATCAAAAAATGTTACGTTTTGTTTTATTATTGTTGATATAAGGTATTAATTAACCTGTTTTAGATTGACTTAAACTTGGGATAAGATACATGCTAAATTAATAAGATTTTATTTGTCTGAGTCTCTGATAGTAATAAACTTCAACCTAATAAAATATTTTGGCTTGAGCAATGTGAGGTTAGAAATGAATGAAATGTACCTTTAAAAAAAAGAAAGCACTAAAATTTACTTTTAAACAGAGTATGGTGATTACCAGATCCTTTTATTTCCAATTTGGGTCAATTCGATTTGTGCTCAATTAACAATCCAAATAAAATGTGAGCAGTTGTTTGATATTCATAATTCTTGAATATCTCTGTTTTAGTAAAGTTACTAGATACACTTACAGAAGTTTTGAAGTACACCATCCATTTTTTTCCTGAGGACTTATCTCTCTCTGGAATCTTAAGCACACAGGATTTATCTTGAAAGTCTAATCTCCTTTTACCCAAACACAATTGCATTCCAGTTAAAAACAGATAAAAATCATAGCAAAAGATTACAAAATTAGTTTATTATAACATACCATTCATACATACTCTGACATATTTCTGAACCAAGGCCCACAAAATATTTGTTTAACATATGTATTTGAACATTATGCGAGAAGCAATGAACTGAACTGCCCATTTTAGACAACTGAAGTAGCTTTGACGTGTTGTTCAGCTGCCAAGCTTGATAGATATTATGAGCAGCTAAAAGAGGATAATGCCATGTTATATCAATGTATACCTTTCCGAAAGATCCATTTTCCTCAAAACAAGTCCTATGGACTATGAACCCTGTGGGCTTGTTACCTACCAATTTCAGAAGCAGTGACTGTGATATTGTACCAAGGGGCTTCTTCTCTGTCAAAGACCTTGGCAGTCTTTATGGTTCCAGTATTTGCATCAATAGTGAAGTATCTATCTTCTGTGTTGTGATCAATGGAATATCTAGGAACACATAAAATTAAAACTTAAGTTTAAAAATAAATGCTAAGCATTCAGCAGTGAGCAAATTTCTTAACTGTTTACATTTATATTGGGGGAAGGGAGCAAAGCATAATCCTAGCCCCTTTGCAACTGGAGGGCCTTCTGCAGCCTTGAATGATTATGGCTGTTGGGATGGAAAATTCCTGGTTAGCTTGACCAATGGCCTCATTCAATATATGGGACCATTAAACACATCACTTCTGGAATCAACCACCTGCCAAAGGAGATCAGTTTCAGTTCTAACGTTGCTTCATGTACTGTACATTTCCAAGTATGCAGAGTGGCTGAATTTATGTACAATAAATATTACAGTTAAACTTTAAAGCTGTGAATTGGTCCTGCTTTTATTTGGTAGCAACAACACAAGTATTGCTTCTTCTAGAATAATGCTTCAGTGCTGATTTGGTTGTATATTATGTGCATGTATACCTATGATGTGGGGCTTTGTTTCCTTTCAGTTAAGCATTCTTTGACCATCTCCACTGAACATTACTATCTTCTAAAAGATACCATCCATTTACCCATATCGAACTGGTTCAAATATCATTAACATATGTTAGTCCAACTAAATGAAAGGGCTAAATTACAGTATATGTATGTAATTGCAAAATATAGCATAAATACTGTTCTGTGAATCTGCATACTTTTGTTAGCTTTGTTGATGAGGCCACCCTAGGCACTTAGAGTTATTTGTTAAGTGAACCACACTAGGACAACCGAAGGGATGGGTCTTCCTATAGCCCCTCTAGTTCATTCCACTATGAGTTATACTGTTCCTGAAATTCACTCAAAGTAGAGGAATTTATAAAAAATAATTCTGGAGATGAAGAACGGATGGTTTCCTACAGCTTTCTTTCTTACTTTGCTCTATTTCATCTCAAGCTCTTCCTCTCACTTTGGTTACACATGTGCATGATAATATAGTACAGAACAACAGTTTTCAGGCAGATAAATATAAATCTATGCATATTTTCCCACAGATGCACAAGTGAATTCATGCTCAATATACAAGACTACATAAAAAGGATCATGATAGAACCATGTGTCACAAAGTTGTACTTCTATACTAATAAGATATTACACAAAAAGAATTATGATGCACATGATTTTGAAACACAAAAGTACTACAGTCTTGCATGTTTTATCACACATGTGCATTAATAATTTTGTGGGGGGTGTTTGTACATGAGTCGAATGAACAGCCTTAAAAAGCACTCATACAGTACTCTTTACAGATTGGTAAATAATTAAAAATGAAACCGTTCATTGTATAGCTACAACTCTTAGAAAACAACGCTAACTTGGAATCTGAACATATAATGAGAAATTTGGATGAGAAGACTTTTAAAAATATCTCATATAGAACAAGTGATGGGACAGAGGGGGTGAAAAACAGAGGAGGAGACCTTGACTTACTTGCCCTTTCCATGTAAAAAAATATAGAGCTTCCCCTACTTAGGTGGACAGGAAATGCAACTGAAGTATCATATCTAGTTTGGATATTATAAACTTAAGAGAATTGAAGAAATAAAGGTCAAACATAGTGAAGAAAAAGGTACAACAGATATTAGGAGTGAGACATGAGAGACTGGAAGGCCAGAGAGTAGTCTATTAGAATAGTGATCAGAGATTATTGAAGCATTAGTCAAAGTTTAAAAAATAAAAGGAAAGGGGACAATTTTAGAGATACATCAAAGGTTCAATGATCAGCATTGAACTGTAGATGAATAAAAGGCTCAACAAAGACTGATGAATCAAATATAATCCCCATGGTTATTCACCTGGGCAGAAGAACAATCTATTATTTGTAGCAGAACTTCAAGGCAAAATAAGAGAAAGAATAGTGAGATTTTCAAAAGGACAGACAAGAGCTCAGTTTAGATCTGTTTAATTGGTTTAACAATTAAAGATGAGAAAAAAGCCAAGATAAAATGACAATCAGGTAGGTCATAATAGTAGACAGCGGGTAGAAGAATATGTTCTAGAACCAAAAGAGAGAGCTGCGTATCAGCTACAGAAATATGACATTAAATCCAAAGTAAATAAAATAGTAATAAAAGATTAAAGTTACAGGGATAAAAACCCCAACACCCTACAATTGGTCCTGTATCCTTGGTTAAGGCACAGTAATAAATAAACATGACTGCTACTACTGTATACAGAATTATACTAGAGAAAGAGAAACACACACACACACACACACACAGAAGAGTATATAAATATAAACAAAGTAAAGAACTGTACCTCAAAATTACACGGAAATGAGAACATGACCGAAAAATTTAGAACACATGGACAACTTAAATACTGACTAAACAATGACATCCTTTGCCTATCTGTATATGACACGCTGTTTGAATATGGATGATTTATATGTTTGACAATATACATATGAAAAAACACATTTTAGCAAAATAGGAAGAGTCCTCTCCCATATGACTAAGATTGCAATTATGATTCTCTTGGAAGTAACTACTACTACCGTTTATAATGGCTACTTTGAAATGAAAACACAGCCAGTATTCCTAAAATTCTATGCTGGCTGAAATTTTAATCTGAATCTAAGAAGAACTGGAGTGGGTGAGATCCAATATCCTAGTTCTGCACTCCACAGTATTAGCAGGAAGTTGATATGTAGAAGGTGAACTGAACAGCACCATTCTGCACACTTTCTCCAGAAATTGGTATATATAAGTATACTCCCTTTGATACTAGTACAAATAAACAACTACCGCAATAGTCTTCAGATGAAATCTGAAATGATACTCTTGGATGACAGAATAGGAATTCCTACCATTAAAAAGACAAGAACAGTTGCTAAAAGTACAGTTCTTATTAAGGGACAAAACTATAATTTATTCTTTTTTCACATATATATTTCTCTGAATCAGATCACAAGTTGGCTGTTATAACATGAAAACATGACCAAAGGTATCATTTTAATGTGCATTAAATGTGTTGTTTGTGAGAACAATATGAATGGGTGATTCGGATATGTGCATCTATGTGTATGCACACTGACAAAGTGTGACAGTGTGTTACTAATTTTTGGCTGCCACCTTCTTCTCTGACTATAATATAGAATGCCTTCTTACAGTTATAAAAATTTATTGTATCCCCCCTCACCCCCTTCAAAAACTGGCATTGTGATCCAGGGTGACTAAACCACTGAATATGAGAACTGAATAAATGAGTTCTTTTATTAATGAAAGCAAAGGCCTTGAAGTAGATAGGAGAAACAGAATGAGGGGGCATTCAGAAGAGATGGGTAAGCATTATCTTTCAAATTACACTTCACTGAAGGTTACCGTTAACAACTGAAGCAATTACAGGCATCCAGCAGAGAGGAGTTTACATTATGGGACTATGGTCCTAAGAACATTCAAATAACACCCATTATGATTTATCTTTTGTTTTAACTGTTACTTGCTCTTCTCATGCATTTCTGCAAAGTCAGACATAGCACAGCACACATGAAGTGTGCTTGGAATAAATGCTTCCATTTAATAACTTTGCTATAAGGAACCTGAAAAACTTTGGAGTTAGGATGATGCGTAGAGCACTAATATGTACACAACAAAAAATAATAAAAAAGCAGCAACGTGTTCAAACCAATCTACTTATGAATATTTTTAAAAACCCTAGTATTGAAAAGTCAAAATGCCTTTGTATGTATAGGTGTTTTTTTTCTCATAAACTAGCTATGCTTCTTCAGTGGCTTGAGCACATTAGAATACTATCAATAATCATACTTCCTATTCCTTCTTATCAGATATAAGGAGTCCACTTTCTTGACAATAAATCAAAAAGATTCAGTATCATAATACCTCTTGTGTCATCTGGGGAAAAAAAAATACAAATTTCTGTGTGACTGTTCACAAAACCTCAGACTGTGGCAAGATGGACATAAGATCATTAGCCAACTCTGTGGCATAGCACCCAGAAGTTGGCTCTTTGATGGAGATTCCAAAGATTTATTACACAGTAAGAAAGGCAAAGGACTTTCCCAAGACTCAACTGGAGGGACATGGCAAATTGTCCTTCTAAAGAAAAAGGCCCCAAGGACATTCAGCACACATATATGAAAAACATGTTACTGAAGAAATCATTTAAACCTCTGCCTTGATGGCATTCAGAGAAGTCCCCAAGGCCACTTATTGGAGTTCATTTCGCTGATTTAAAACAACTGGATAATGTAAATCTGTGTGGATTAAAACATTTTAGTTTGCTTTAATTTTATTTAATTCTGATGGATATATTTTAAATTTCCTGCTTCCTGTGGTAAGATTCTGAAGGGTGCCCAATTATGAAATGTAATAATATTATGGCTCATTCACAAAAAACCTCTTTTATTTATACAAAGATTTATAAACCAACTTACTTCATTTGAGTACAAGATCAACTAACGATTGGCATGTGTGAATGAGGCATCAGAAATACAGTATTACAGATGGAACTTTAATATATCTCAACCAGCTCAAAGACAGAAGTATTTATGGAGAATTTAGAGACCAGTAACCATATACAAGCTATGCATCTGAATCAAGCTATGCACATCTGAACCAATTTATTTAGTTCAGGGCTTCTCTAATTTTCCAGTTTTCACTGTAAATAACTCATTCCTATGAAAACTGCCCAAAGTAGAGGGAGCGTGAACCAGAAACATTTTTGTCAAGAGGGTAATTCACTATTAATAAGAAAATATGCCATTAATGATTGAAGCACATAGCACAAAGAAGGTTTCATCCAGCAAGGATACTACTTAAATTGTGTGTGTGTTGGATATATTGGATATATGTACACCTCAATTGCTTAGTTGTAACTGCGCAAATGTGATCAGCAATGCAGTATTAGGAGCAGGGGAGTTTCCTTACTGGTACTAATAGGCTGAAATTGTAATATTTCCTGCTGACTGCAATAATTAAGAATCAATCCTGCTTCTAAATTATACAGATAACTTC